CACAATATCCATACATATGACTACATACCTACATACATATGTATATAGTCCGATACTTGAGAAGGCACAAGTACGCAGCATATCGAGTTATAACGTCCGTTTTGCATTATATTATATATTAACAGACATACAACACATACAGTTCGCAAATTACAACCTTCAAAAAGACATACGTACACACACGTGTACAAAAATGAAAAAAAAAAACTTTGTTCGGCAACGAAAAGAAAGCAGTGGGAAAATGTTAAAAGCAAAAGTAAAATGAAAAATAAAATAAACAAATAACAGCGTTCATATACACACAACCGCATATGTAAGTAGCTGTATAGGTAAGCATGCAAGAAGTCATGCGCATGCGCCAAAACCTGTCTTTGGAGCGCTAATACGGTGAACTGATGAAATGTATTGGCTTGTGGTCCATACGCCGGCATTACACATTTTTGACCCACAAATATTGCATTATTTGAAATTCATTGATTGGATTGGAGTTTGACGAAATTTTTCCCCTTAGAGCTTTCATCACTTTTACATACCTACATATATGTATATTCGCATGCTTACAAATATGTAAGGTGTGATTAGGTGTTCATATATAATTAATTATTTAGTCATTTTATACAATTATAAATTGCGGAAGCGTTGGGATGCCGGCCTTGATTGGGTAGCTCTTCACGAGAAAGGCGGTGTGAGCCGGGACGTTGTCGTGGTGCAACTTCCAATCGTCTGCGATGTTTTGTCGGACCCGATTTACGCTTCGTTTGTGTCTCTTGAGGAATTCCACGTAAAACTTGGCGTTGACGGTTTGTCCAGGAGGAAACTTTGCGCACACGAATCACATTTTCGGTATTTGTCAAAATCGCAGGTCTCCCAGCACGGTCTTTATCAGCGACCTCTTCCTGGTGCTCCAAAAATGTTTGGTGCCACCGAAACACACCACTTCTTGCTAAAGCAACATCTGGATAAGCATCCAGCTTGATCATATCAAACGTCTCTGTCGCAGATTTACCGAGTTTCACACATAATTAATTCGCGTACCTCTGTTCTAACGAGCGCTGCATTCTCGACTTGCACCACTCACAGAAACACGTCGCGCAAAAATGTGTGTCCTGACACTCCAGCTGCTCGGAGACAACCGACCAGCCGCGCGTTCGTTAGCTAGGAATGCACTCTAACGAATCCAGCTGATGCGTCCACGCTCCGAAGTCAGTCGCGACTATTACTTTCCGGACAAAGCCTGTAAGCGAATTCTTCATTATTTTCACTCATTTTGGACAGTTGTAACTTTTTTCAACTTCCCCGATGTTTTTTTTTAGGTAATTTCAGCCTAAAATCTCACCTTTCCAACATTATATGATATGATCTCTAGTAAACACGTGATCTATAGTATAAGTAAGTTAATTTTAAGCTATGTTTAGGCAAATGGTTCATATTTTCGGCTCATAATGAATATTTAATTCAAAAAAATATTATTTAAAATAAAATAAAACTATTATTTTTTACTATCGTAGACACCGGCTTTTGCGGACCGCGCAGATACCAAGTGCAGCCAGGTCGTTATACACCACCATACAGACGACCTTGTCGAAATCCGGTTTGAAATCATCTATGACTTAGATTGAATTCACCATACCAACGCTAAATACTGGTCCTTGATGGATTTTCATTGCCAAACATTTTAAAGTTGTTAAATATATATCAATTTTTTGGCCAAGATGAATATTTTAAGTGACTGCAAACAGCACAAATAATGCTCCCACGTCAAAACGTTCTGAGTGTGTATAACAACAAAAATATAAAACATTACAATAAAGTTGTCGGTTGCCAGCCTTCAACACTAGGGTTGCCAAATCACGAAATATAAAAGAGAACCTACGCATAACACGCCTTAAAATTAAATTTTCATTCAAAAAGATGCAAACAACGGAATAAGTTCACAACCTTTACAGTTATCTAGTTTTGTTAGACTGTTTTGCGACACTTTTATAAATAAAAAAAAAACCAAAAATGGCATCATAAAGTGATAATTAGTAATTAATGTTGTCAGCTACTCTCATCTTTTTGCTCATAATTTACGGCCGCAACGATTAAAATTGTACTCTATGCCCTAATTCGAGGGTTAAGACAATTAAAACATAAATGCACACACATTTCCTTAATTTGTGCCTCGCCGTGTCCGCCCCTAGATGTACAGTTATTACTCACTTTAATAATATTCGCGTTTTAATTACATTCATTAACGACTGCCCCGTATGCTTTCTAGATTTTCGTACAGCTTTTCGTATCGCAGTAACGATGCTATTGCGCATACGCGTTTCGCACCGCCTACACACAAACACACGTGCATACAGATATTTGATGCTTTCGTTGCATGAATGAACATGCGTTTTCGTGTTTGATGCTCACCTGTTCGTTGATGCTTCACAATTAATGGTCATAAGGGTCACATATGTATATTTTTCTAATCCACAGACAACACATAAATGCGTATACATATATGTATATATGAGAAATATGAGTGAAAAGTAAAAAATGTACATACATACATACATATGTACATATGAGTATATAAAAAGCATATGTATGGATATTGGTATGATGCGTTCGTGGATATCTACCAAGCAATGCTATCAACAGTGATGATTATTGACGAACAACATTTATAATGCATATACATATATGTACATATCCACAAATTCAGTAGAGATTTTTAGGAATTGTGTAAATATGAACTATGTATTGAACTTACCTAACGGCATTTCATAATTCATACATAAAATTACTTATGTAATTGAAAACAAAAACCAAAATTGGAAAAATTTTAAATTCACAAATACCATATAAACACATACATATGTACATACATACATATGTACATATGTATGTGTTTATATATGTATGAAATGCCGTTAGGTAAGTTCAACAGTAAAATCTATTAACTGCAACAAAATTTCGTCACACACGCTATGTTGCAGGCTTCTTGGAGTCGAATATATTTTAAAAAAATTTATTATAGTGTTTTAATTAAAAAATCATTTCAAGGTTGCCACCTGATTAAGTTTTCAGCGCAACAAA